CGGCCACGTTCCAGCGGTTACTGGACACGGTCCTTGGGCCAGAGTTAGAGCCGCACGTGTTCGTTTATCTCGACGACATAATCGTTATTAGCCGGACGTTCGACCACCATCTCGAGCTGCTGCAGGAGACTTTCCGCCGTCTTCGTGACGCGCGCCTCCGTCTGAACCCGGAGAAATGCCGAATCTGCGTTGACCGTTTGACGTACCTGGGGCACGTAATTGACCGGGAGGGAATTCGGACCGACCCCGGGAAAATTCAAGCTGTGGCCAACTGGCCAGAACCACGGTCAGTCAAACAAATACGACAATTCGTGGGGATGGCATCGTGGTACCGTCGTTTTATCCCAGCCTTCTCCGCGATCGCGGCCCCACTTACGCAGTTAACGAAGAAAAACGCCCGATGGAAGTGGGGCGAGGGGGAGGCCGTCGCGTTCGCTCAACTTAAGCACGCTTTGAGTTCAGCGCCGGTTTTAGCTTGCCCCGATTTCACGCGCCGATTTTTCCTCCAGACGGACGCTAGCACGACCGGGCTCGGGGCAGTGTTGACGCAAAATTTCGAGGAAGGCGAACGCGTGATCGCCTATGCAAGCCGCACCTTAAACGCGGCCGAGCGCAACTATAGCGCCACGGAGCTCGAATGCCTAGCTATCGTATGGGGTATCCGGCGAATGAAGAGCTACCTGGAAGGGTACTCCTTCACCGTCGTGACAGATCACCAGGCCCTACGGTGGCTACAAAAAATAGAGTCTCCGACCGGACGCCTCGGACGCTGGGTATTCGAGCTCCAGCAGTATGACTTCGACGTAAAGTACCGCCGCGGGGTACTTAATCGTGTCGCCGACGCGCTATCGCGTCACCCGGTAACTTGCGCCGCGAAAGACCGGGAATGCGCCTGGTACCGCCGAAAGTTCGAAGGGGTGCAGCAAGACCCCACCGCGCACACCGATTACCGTATAGAGGACGGTAGATTGTATCGCCTCCTCTACCACAGCCTCAACTTCAAGGACACCGCCGCAGAAGAACAATGGAAGCTCTGCGTATCCAAGGAGGCCAGAAACGACATCCTACGCCGATATCACGACGTCCCCACCGCCGGGCACATGGGCATCGCCAAAACGATCGCCCGAATTGCCGAGTTTTATTATTGGCCGGGGATGTTTCGCGACATCGCGAACTATGTGCGAACATGCAAAAATTGCCAAGCGCACAAGGTCGCGCAGCAGCGACCGGCAGGAACACTGCACGCGACCTACGTCAGCCGACCATGGGAGCAGGTAACTCTCGACTTACAAGGAAAGGGTCGGAAGTGTCCCCCTCCGATTTTAATGAGCTTTGAATATGTTGTAGTCTAGATCAAAATAGGAGACACGTATTTTTTTATAAGTGCTGAGTCGGCCGTTAAGGGGGTGAAACACCTTCTTGAAAAAAATCGATTTTTTCATTTCTCAGCGGATACCGTCGAAGCGATAAGAGATATAAACAAAAGTTTCAAATAAAAGTTTTATGGTCTTTAATGTACTTCAAAATCATGTAATCAGATTTGTCGAAAATGTCATATTTTTCGAAATCCCCCCCCCCTCCCTTTTAATGTTTGAAAATTTTTAAATTTGTCTCATAACAAAACTTATAGCTCATTTAACGACAAATTCAATCATATATAATAAAGTTGTATTCCGAAGTCACATTTTTCAGAAATAAATTAAAAATATCCCTATACACTACTATACGCCCGCTTTATCCGCCTTATGACGCTCGTTATTCACAGCGACAGTCATTTTTCTTCGCAAACTCACAGAGGCAACCATAAATTAGCAATAAATAATTTATGAGAATATATTTTTATAAATTATAGAAATTATATTTATAAATATAATTATAAATTATATAATAATTATAATTATAATATATGTCTATATTATGTGACAATAAATATACATATAATTTATATGGAAAAGTAATGTTTTTAATGCATGAAAAATAAAACTAGTCGGACAAGGAAAATTATTGATCAGATGCCGATGTTAATAGATTCAATTCTATGAATAAACAGATGTCGCATTCGCGAAATGAGTTGGTGCAATATATTATTTTATTAACAACTGCGTGCAGTGGAACACATATTACTATTAAAGCGTCTATCGAATATACGCGAGCGCGATAGTAAATATATTTATATATATAAGAAAATAATTAAAAGGATTATAACTTATAAAGCGAGCGAAAAAATGCGTCGCGATAAGAAAGTCAGCTGCCCGAAGTGCTGATACAGCCAGTATCACACGGCCAAGTCATCAAACAGAGGAAGAAATCACTCTCGAAATAGCGCTGAATTGCAATAAAATGCGAGGAAGTCTTCGGACTTCCTTCGCTTGCATTTTGATCACGCCACTTTAGAAATAACCAATGATTTTATTTGGTCATGCCACCGCGCGATCCTCCTCCGATAATCGTTCAGAACCGGAGGCGTTAAAAGCCACCGCCTAGAAGCGGCGGACAGTCACAAATCAGTTATCAAATAATTAACAAGTGCTCGAGTTAATTAACAAGACTAGCCGTTATCCTGAAAAAACAATTGTGCCCCACGCACACAACAATACAGTATGTATGTACTTTTTCGATTTTTAAAACTTTTATAGTTTTTTGCTTTTACTTACACTTCATTCAAAATTGCGGTTTATCTGTTTTGTTTTAATGTATTTAAATTATAATTAATATTTTATTACTTTATTTAAGTTATGTGATAAAACTGTTCTATTTTTCATGAAACTCGGAAAACGTAACAAATTATTAATACGCATTAAATAATAAAATATTTTTGTTGCTAATAAGTATTTTTTTGCTAATATTTATAAAACAAATATACATAATGTTAATAATTTTTTTAGATAATGTTTAATCCAAGAAATGTAGCAGTACTGCTATACACTGCACTGTATATGACTGGGGAATTCCCAGAAAGTCCTGTTACAACAGATGAAAATGAAACAAAAGACATGATGGAAAATATGCTTCGATCAATGTATGAAGAAGCGTTTGAAGTTTATGAAGAATCATCATTAGATTTTCAAAACGAATTTGATATACCTGAAGTAGAACCTGTAATTGATGAAGAAAGAGAAGAAGACACATATTTTGTAAAAGAAATTGAATGTGTTGCGGATTCTGTACCAATAGAATATAAAAGAAATGCAGTAGAGTTATGGAGAAGTGGAACAAAAAAGTCAAGAACTCTTGCATCTATAAGAAATAGATTTCGGAAAGTCACGTCATTACGTCAATTAAGAAGATGGGAGCAGCAAGTAAATCAAGGTGGCAACAGATTTGATAAACTGAAAGAAATTTCAACATATACGTTAAATAAATTCCATGAAGGTATTGAAAAGGGAATAATTATTCATGACATTGATATTGCTCGATGGGCTCTTCGCGCACAGAAGGAAGTAAATCTACTTGGGTTTACAGCATCATTATCATGGGTAAAAAGGTTTAAGCTTGCACATAATATCGTATCTAGAAAAATTACAAAATTTATAACAAAAAAAAATTTAGCGTCAGACAAAGATTTAGAAGCACGAAGCAAGTCATTTATCGAAAATGTTAAATCTTCTATTATACAATATGGAATTGAAAATGTATATAATTCGGACCAAAGTGGATTTCAATTAGAATTTCATTCCGGTCGTTCACTATCACCTATTGGTATTAAAAAAGTAGAGCGCATAGTACAATCCATATCAGCAACTACACATAGTTATACTATACAACCTATTGTTTCAGCTGATGGTAGATTATTATCGCCTCTGTTTATTGTTTTAAAAGAACCTACTGGAACATTTGGTCCAATAGTAAAAGAAACAATGTTTAAAGATAATAATATCTTTGTCATGGCATCAAAATCTGGAAAATTAACATCGCATCATTTTGAGATCTGGATAAAAGAAGTGTTTTTTCCAAATGTTGGACCAAAATCAGTGTTATTATTAGATTCTTGGACTGGTCATTGTCCTGATATAATTCAAAGAAACAAACCAGATTTTATAGACAATATTAATTTGTTAACTATACCAGCTGGAGCAACGGGAAAAATACAACCTTTAGATGTATTCGGTTTTCGTTTATGGAAAAATTTTGTTAGACATTTTTTAGATACCATCATGCTTTTAGATCTTGACGTCAAGCTTCATTCAAGAAACAATATTTTAAAATTACAATCATTAACACATAATCAATTTTCATCACCAAGGTTTAAAAATTTATTCAAATATGCATGGTATAAAAGTGGTTATTTAGAAAAGAAACCAGAAGAATTTGATACACCAGTAGATTTTTGTTTCAAAACTAATTTAAAACCAACATGTGATATTTGCGGTGAAATTGCTGTAATTTCTTGCGCATGGTGTAAAAAATCCCTTTGTATAAATCATTTCTTTCATGATCATCATCTTTGTAACCGATATCAACCATGAATATTTGTTATTCTTGTATGCAATAATTATGTACGGTATTTTATGTAATATTTCCATATACATATATATAATGACTTCGGAATACAACTTTATTATATATGATTGAATTTGTCGTTAAATGAGCTATAAGTTTTGTTATGAGACAAATTTAAAAATTTTCAAACATTAAAAGGGAGGGGGGGGGATTTCGAAAAATATGACATTTTCGACAAATCTGATTACATGATTTTGAAGTACATTAAAGACCATAAAACTTTTATTTGAAACTTTTGTTTATATCTCTTATCGCTTCGACGGTATCCGCTGAGAAATGAAAAAATCGATTTTTTTCAAGAAGGTGTTTCACCCCCTTAACGGCCGACTCAGCACTTATAAAAAAATACGTGTCTCCTATTTTGATCTAGACTACAACATATTCAAAGCTCATTAAAATCGGAGGGGGACACTTCCGACCCTTTCCTTGTCAGACAGCGCTCGTAATCGTCGAACGTCAGCGTTCTCGCGACGACGCTGCTCCTCACAACCTTGCTCTTCTTAGTGTCGCCCCTACTCTCGACTCGCAACGCGTACATCTTCGCTCTGAGTCCGACGAACTCGAACATGAGAGCGCCGTTGTTCTCGTCATTCATCAGACCGAGAACCTTCTTATTCGCGCGCGGCACGCCGTAGGGATTGTCGACGGCGTAATCACTCGTGTCGAATCTATCGATGTCGCGCTTCATTCGCTCGTACGCGTCCTCGCACTCTACGCTATAAATGAGACTGTCCGTGTCGGTGTACAATATTTTACTCTTATCGCCGTAGAGCGGCGACATGTATTCGTAGTGAAACGCGTACAAACGAATTTTGGATATATCGAGAATGGACATGCCTACGTAGATCGGTTTGTTGATCCTCGCCTCCAATTTGCGCAATTCCACGGCCATGAGATTCTCCGAGAATACGCTTCTACTGTGAAAATTCGGTTTGGAGATGAGCGCTCCGAATCGACTGTCCCATCGAGTCGCGAGTCGAACGTCCACGCGATTGCGCACGTTCTCCATGGTCTTGCCGAAGACGGCGTTATTCATCAATTTGTACAAATTCTTCTCGAAATCGTTACTCGCGTTAGTGCGTAAGCGCGTGTTAAGTTCCACGTATCCGCGTAACCACGGCGACTGCGAGAAGCGCAGCGCGCGATGAATCCTCGTCAGACGCAGACCGTGACGAACGCACTGCTGCAGATTGCGATAGTGCGTAACGTATCGGCGCTTATCGTACAGCGTGGCTAGGAGTTTGCTCTGACGCTTCCCCGGCGGCTTATCGCGCGTGGGACAAAACGGTAGATCGGCGTGAGCGTCGTGCGCGTCGGCCGGATAGTCAAGATCGACCTCGAGAATGTAGCCGACGGTCGAGTCCTCCGTCACGGACATCACGTCGAGACTCTCGAGATCGTCGATCCACTTGAATCGCTCGTACGGCAACAGCTGACACATCGCCCAACCGTACAGATTGTTGATATCGAGATACATCAAATAGATCGACGGTCGCGACGGATCGTACGCGCTCATGTACTTGTTGTTAGCGCGAGCGTATCTGTTAGAGCACTGACTTAGACCGCCGCGTATTCCGCGTTCCAACATCATCATATCGATATCGGTGAGCAGCTCGAAACGGACCCCCGTGTACTTAAGCATCGCGTCCCACGTGTATCCCGGCAGCATGAAGTAATACGCGGGATCTAAACCGTAACTCTCCAAACAAGCGGCGCGAAAATTTTCGAACACGTCCGCAAGCAGAAGAACGTCGATCTTCAGATAGAAATCGCTGTACTCGCCCAGGGTTTCGACGCTAAATCGCTTCCAGACGCGCGTCGCGTGCGCGTAATCGCTCTCCGATACGGTATCGCCGGTCAGAGAACTGTAGAAGGACTCGCGCGGCGAGAGACGCGTCTCCCGCAATCTCTCGACGCTGTCGACGTACTCGTACGGAAATACGCCCTTGCGTGTGAGAAGTCGGAAGTCGTCGTCGGAGAGATCGCGAAACTTGCCTCGCGCGATCGTCAGTTTGCTCTCGTCGAGATACGACGCCAGCTTATCGAGACCGGCGCCTAAAAACTTGAACGAGTCCACGAATCATAATTTGACGTATCTGGAACGCGCGGCGTTTCCCCCGTCCCCCTCCGCCGCGGTATCCCGAACGGTCTTCGAGAAAGCTATGTACGATTCCTTCGTCACCAGCAACAACTCGACGCTGCCGGGATACGCGTTAGCCACATCCTTGATAATGAAGTGCGCATCGTAAACCGATAGATTGTGAAAGAATACGGGTATGACGTAGGGGTCCTTGTAATTCAAATTACACGCGTAATGCACCGGACCTCTGAAGCGGCCGGTCAAGTGACAGTGATCGCGCACGCGAGCGTCGTCGGCCTCGAACGGTCTCTCGCACGCGTAACAGCGCGACGCGCTCGCGAATATCTCCCGCTCGTCCGGCGTCAGATCCGCCATCGGTACCACGGCGTCGAGGGCGACCTTCGCGCGAAGCGCCAGATCGCGCAGCTCGCGCACGAACCACGCGACGCCATCCTCGCCGCGATAAGATCCGTACGCCGACGCGGCGTCGTCGAAGGAGCAACGCGTGTAATAGGCCACGCTGTGAACTCTATGATGCTGAACGATCCTCGTATTCTTGGTTCTCCCGCCCTCGTCCCCCTCCTTTCTCTCCAACGCGCACTCCAGATCGGCGTACACCGCAAACGGAATTCGCTCCTTTCTCGAATGATGATCGAACTCCAGCCACCTGTCGTCCTCGCCGGAAAGAACGATCGCGCAATCGTTCAGCTTGCCGCAATCCTCGCTGTGCGCCGACAGCTTCTCGCTCGTGCGAAAGTAATGCATGCATCTGAAAGAAAATACGGAATAAACGTTAGATCGATATTTCACTCTCGCTCGCCGAGATCGAACACTCACGGCGGAGCACGGTGTCCCTCGCGTCCTCGAGAAATCTCAGAGGTTCGATGTAATCGAGATTTATCACAGCGCCGGTCAACACGCGTCTCTTGAAAGCCGTCTCGACCTCGGACCACGAGAATCCCTCGCGCGACTCGACCCCGCTACCGCCGTCATCCTCGCGTCTCGCAACACCCGCGCCCTCCCGCTCGAAGCGTCGCCGTAGATCGTCCCTCGCGCCGATCACTCGCAGGATTCGGGCGACCAGAGAGGTCCTCGCCCGTGGAGATTCGGCGACTCGCGTCTAGGCACCTCTCGCGCAGAGTCGCGAGACACTCCTTGCATCGTCGCGTCCACGCGCGATAGTCGTCCGTCGTGGCGACGTCGCGCGCGCTCTCGAGCGTCCGGCCCTCTTCTTCCCGCATGGCCGCGTCCTCTTCTCTCCCTACGGCGATTCGTCGTCCTTTCTCTCTCCTCCCCGCGGGGTCTTATCCACAGCGTCTCGCCTCGCGAATCCACTGGCAGCGAAAACCCGCGACGCGTCCCGGTCATCCGCGTATCTCCGGCGTCGAATCTCGCCGCTCTTCCGCTACACACCAAGACCGTCTCGATCCACAGCTCCTCGCGCGCGTCTCGAAGACCGATCGCCCGCCTCGTTGAATAAGTCGCGACGCTCCACGCGATCCTCTCCTTCAACACTCGAAACGTAGCGATCGATCGGCGGATCGATGCGCTCCTCGCTCATGACAACTCGCGCCTCAAGCGTATCAAATCCACGCCGCAGAACATATTTCGGCGGAACGGATACTCGCGACCGCTGTCCTCGCGAACGTGTATCGCAGAGTTCTACCCGCGTTATCCTCGGGCGGGAGAATCCTGCAACGCGCGACTGGCCATAAATATCGTTCTTCCGGTTGGGGATAATCGAACGAGTGATATTTCCACTCGCCGTCACACATAACTCTTCGGATCCTGATGACTCTTCGGATACTTCGCTCTAAACCACCTGTTAGATCTAGATCATAGTTATAAGAATAGGCTCTGCGACTGTGGGCCAGCCGTCTCGACTCACAACTCCTCGCGCCGACTGTGCGTTTGAACGGCTCTTCTCAGGTGATACGTCGCGACGTTCCATCGCGCGCTCTCCTTAAACTCGACGTCGTCGTCGCCTATCGGGCGCGCCAACTCCTCTTCCTTTTCCGCCGCCTTACCGTCGACGGTAGAGACAACTCTGACGGAACTCGCGCCGCTCATACGCGCACCTCGTCGTTCGCGAACCTATTTTCCCGAGAAACGATCGCGACCATCCGCGAGGCGTGTGCGCGCCTTGAAACGACCATCGCGTCTTTATACTCGCTCGTTCGAGCGACGACGATGACGTCGCGCGAGCGGGAAAAAATTTCTCCGCGGTCGCGCGGTTTTCGCCTTGGGAAACGACGAATCCGTCGAAATACCGCATTCGACCGGATTCAGCGCGCATTATCGCGCGCGTCTCTCGCCGCTGTGCGTTCGAAAGAAAGGAACGGCGACGGAAGCGTCGCCGCGAATATCCCTCTCATCTTAGCGCGACACGCTCGAGAGGAAAGAACGGCGACGGAAACGTCGCCGCGAATATCCCTCACGCGCGCGCGAGTAAATCCTAACGGAATCCCGCTCCTCTCTCGTTATCGCGTTTAAAAGGAGAGATAAGCGGCGAGTCCGCGCGCGCGACGACCGCGATATCGCGCAAAGACGCGATATCGCGCGCGCGCGCAACGAGGCCCTCGTCCGATCGACGCGCTCTCCGTCGATCCTCGAGAACGAAAAATCGACGACCACCGTCGACGAGAGAGAGAGAGAGACGTCTCTACCCGCGACGTGTTCTCCCGATACATCGTACGCTCGTTTACGAAACGAGCGCACATTTAGGTTAAAATTCGAGCGACGCGCTCGCGCGCGGCGAACTCGCGTCCGACGTCTACGACGAGACGAGACGAGAAACACCGCCGCGCTCCGCGTGCTCTCCCGATACATCGCGCTCCTTTTTACAAACGGAAAGAAAAATATTCGAATTTACATTCGAGGGACGCGATGGAAACGCCCGAGGTCGCTTGTCGCTCCCTCCTCGGCGCGTCGAAACGACGCGAGCCTGCGGAAGCGCATATATGTTATATAAACATTACATAATTATTTAAATATTATATAAATCGCGCGTCGCGCGAATCGCATATTTTATATTACATCTCTTCCTGGCCTACGTCGAACGCGTCTATTTTATTTATTATTAACGTCAACCTTATCTCTACCTTGCGCGCGACACGCCCGACGGGGCGATCGCCGCTTATCGCGCGTGCCTAGCGCGCCGCGTCCAGAGACGCTCCGACGCGCCGTATCCAGGGACGCGCGCGCGCCGTAACCAGGAACGCGCGCGCTCTCTCTCCCTCTCCCTCGCTCTCTCTCTCCCTCTCCCTCGCTCTCGCGCCGAACCCCTCTCCCGCACGCTCTCCCTCGCCCCGCCGCCCCCTCGCCCTCCCCTTCCGCGTGACGTCACGACCTTCCGTTTACCCACCCGACGGCGAGCGGCTACCCTCGCCATACCTATGCCCCACCGTTTACCCTCCTGCTCGCCCCCGCCGCCGTCACCCTGCCCCTCGGACACCTTTCTATCTCTCTCGCTTTACGAGACCTCTCTCTCGCACCCGTGGAAAAAGCGGGTTAGAAACGGTATATTCTCCCTATTCATAGTCGTGCGCTGTCCAGAAAAAATGCGTTTATTACTAGTTAGTTCAGTAGTTCGCATCGTTGTATGCTATCCGGAAAGAAAGCGTATATTTATCGTTTGTACGTCGTATAGTCGTGCGCTATCGCGAAAAAAAGCGTTTATTTCTAATTAGTTCAGTAGTTCGCATCATTGTATGCTATCCGGAAAAAAAACGTTTATTTCCTGTTTGTACGTCACAGTAGGTCGCATAGGCTTGCGCTATTTGGAAAAAATGCATTTATTTCTAGTTAGTTCAGTAGGTCGCATCGTCGTACGCTATCCAGAAAAAAAGCTTTTATTTCTCGTTTGTACGTCACAGTAGGTCGCATAGGATTGCGCTATTCGGAAAAAAAGCGTTTATTTCTAGTTAGTTCAGTAGTTCGCATCGTCGTATGCTATCTGGAAAAAAAGCGTTTATTTCTCCTTTGTACGTCGCATAGTCGTGAGCTATCCGAAAAAAAAGCGTTTATTTCTAGTTAGATCAATAGGTTGCATCGTCGTACGCTATCCGAAAAAAAAGCGTTTATTTCTCGTTTCTACAACGTACAGTCCTGCGCTATCCTGAAAAAAAACGTTTTCTTCTAGTTAGTTCAGTAATTCACATCGTCGTACACTATCCGGAACAAAAGCGTTTATTTCTCGTTTGTACGTCGCATAGTCGTGCGCTATCCGAAAAAAAAGCGTTTATTTCTCGTTTCTACGACGTACAGTCGTGCGTTATCCTGAAAAAAAGCGTTTTCTTCCAGTTAGTTCAGTAGTTCACATCGTCGTACACTATCCGGAAAAAAAGCGTTTATTTCTCGTTTGTACGTCGTATAGGCGTGCGTTATTCGAAAAAAAAGCATTTATTTCTAGATAGTTCAGTAGTTCGCAACATCGCATGCTATCTTGATAAAAAGCGTTTGATTTTCGTTTGTACGTCGTATAGGCGAGCGTTATGCGGAAAAAAAGCATTCATTTCTAGATAGTTCAGCAGATCGCATCATCGCATGGTATCTTTAAAAAAAGCGTTTAATTCTCGATTGTACGTCGTATAGGCGTGCGTTATGCGGAAAAAAAGCATTTATTTTCAGATAGTTCAGTAGTTCGCATCATCGCATTCTATCTTGAGAAAAAGCGTTTAATTCTCGATTGTATGTCGTATAGGCGTGCGTTATGCGGAAAAAAAGCATTTATTTCTAGTTACTTCAGTAGTACGCATCATCGCATGCTATCTTGAAAAAAAGCGTTTAATTATCGATTGTATGTCGTATAGGAGTGTGTTATGCGGAAAAAAAGCATTTATTTCTAAATAGTTCAGTAGTTCGCATCATCGCATTCTATCTTGAGAAAAAGCGTTTAATTCTCGATTGTATGTCGTATAGGCGTGCGTTATGCGGAAAAAGAGCATTTATTTCTAGTTAGTTCAGTAGTTCGCTACATCCTATTCTATCTTTAAAAAAGCGTTTATTTCTCGTTTGTACGTCGTATAGACGTGCGTTATACGGAAAAAAAGCATTCATTCCTAGTTAGTTCAGTAATTCTCGTCATCGCATGCTATCTTGAAAAAAAGAGTTTATTTCTCGTTTGTACATCGTATAAGCGTGCGTTATGCGGAAAAATTTAATTCTCGTTTGTACGTCGTATAGGGATACGTTATTCGGAAAAAAAGCATTTATTTATAATTATTTATAGTTAGTTCAGTAGTTCGCATCATAGCATGTTATCTTTAAAAACAGCGTTTATTTCTCGTTTGTACATCGTATAGGCGTGCGATATTCGGAAAAGTAGCATTTATTTCTAGTTAGTTCAGTAGTTCGCATCATCGCATGACATCTTAAAAAAAAGCGTTTAGCTCTCGTTTGTTTGTCGTATTGGCGTGCATTATGCGGAAAAAAAGCATTTATTTCTAGTTAGTTCAGAAGTTCGCATCATCTCATGCTATCTTGAAAAAAAGCATTTATTTCTCGTTTGTACGTCGTATAGGTGTGCGCTATCCGCAAAAAAAGCATTTATTTCCATTTAGTTAAGTAGTTCGCATCATCGCATGCTATCTTGAAAAAAAGCGTTTAATTCTCGTCTGTACGTCGTATAGGGGTACGTTATACGGAAAAAAGCATTTATTTCTAGTTAGTTCAAGATAGCATGCGAACTACTGAATTACATAGAAATGAATGCTTTTAATCCAAATAACGGACGCCTATACGACGTAATAACGTGAATTAAACGCTTTTTTTCAAGAAAGCATGCGATGATGCGAACAACTGAATTACATAGAAATGAATGCCTTTAATCCGAATAACGCACGCCTATACGACGTAATAACGTGAATTAAACGCTTTTTTTTAAGATAGCATGCGATGATGAAAACTACTGAACTAACTTGAAATAAATGCTTTTAATCCGAATAACGCACGCCTATACGACGTACTAACGTGAATTAAACACTTTTTTTCAAGATAGCATGCGATGATGCGAACTACTGAATTACATAGAAATGAATGCTTTTAATCCTAATAACGCACGCCTATACGACGTAATAACGTGAATTAAACGCTTTTTTCCGGGATAGCATGCGATGCTGCAAACTACTAAACTAACATGAAATGAATGCTTTTAATACGAATAACGCACGCCTATACGACGTAATAACGTGAATTAAACGCTTTTTTTCAAGATAGCATGCGATGATACGAACTAGTGAACTAAATATAAATAAATACCTTTTTTCCGAATAACGCAGGCCTATGCGACGTACAAACGAGAATAAACGCTTTTTTTCAAGATAGCATGCGATGATGCGAACTACTGAACTAACTAAAAATGAATGGTTTTAATCCGAATAATGGACGTCTATATGACGTACTAACGTGAATTAAACGCTTTTTTTCAAGATAGCATGCGATGATGCGAACTACTGAACTAACTAGAAATGAATGCTTTTAATCCGAATAACGCACGCCTATACGACATACTAACGTAAATTAAACGCTTTTTTACAAGATAGCATGCGATGATGCGTACTACTGAACTATCTAGAAATGAATGACCAAAATAAAAGTTCTTCTTCGAAATCTCCAGCTTCTTTTATTGAGCGTAGTCTTACTCCTATAGTAGCAGCCAACATTTCCAGACGAGATATCGTTATTCTTTCAATAGGTGATACTCTGGATCTTGCTTGAATAAGTTGTATATTGCGACATTTTATTCAATTAAAATTATTAATTTCGCAATATTCCTCAGGGTGTTATGGAGGAGAGTGCGAAGGTGAACGAAACCGCCGTCAAAAACACAGCGAATAAAGTATACTCGCTCTCGAGGGAACTGGGATGGAGGGTGTTCGCGCGCGAGCCGCGGTGAAGCGAAAGCCGTCTCGACATCTCGAAGTTTGGCGCCATATGCGGTCTTTTACGCATCAATTTTCGCTAAACGTCTCAGAACACGAAAAACGATAGCCTACTTCGCCACGGGCCGACTAGTTTGCCTAACGGTAGAGGGGCAGGGTCTTGGAAAAAGTCAATTGATTATGCGAGAC